CTTGTGCGCAGGAATGGTTTCACCTAGGTAGGGACGATGCTTGCGCTTGCGCAGGCCTCTGCCCTCAGTTCGCTTCTTTGGTTTGGTTGTTTTGACACCTATCAGTGAAACGATAGTACACGACCAACACGCAACGAACCAAGCTGCTAGCTACACGACATTGTTAAGTTCTTTGACTCCGCGTCACACAAGAAAGGTACCACATCGAAATCAACATCTCATTATATATAGTATGTGCCGCAAAGCGCAGAAATACGACTTTCAATTCAACTATACATACGTTTAGTAAACATAAAATGAAACAATATAATTCTAATATAATATAAGTTAGCAATATTATTTTAGCTTATAATTACGAAGTATTTAATCGTAGTTTTAGTGTATAACAAGACTTACTTGCGACATTTTACAGTTTTATGATTATATATTTTATTTTGTAAGTTCATACCAAACAGAGAACAACTGAGGATAGTTCCATGTGACTGAAACACGTCTGGCAAGACAAATTATAAATAAATGCTAGTGGGCTTCAAAAAATGACGTCATCAACAATGTCACCTTATATTTATTTATACACGGCATTGTTGTGGAACAACAATTCCGTGTACACCACAACAATGCCGAGTACACAAATAACGCTTAGTACCAAGCCAGTCGCATTATCACTGCTCTACAAGATTTTAAAACGCAACCAACCCCCCAGAAGGGTGGGATGGTCTATTGTTTTAACCCCCCATTCGGGGGGTTTAGTTTAGTTTCTTACTAAAGATTTTAAAACGCAACCAACCCCTCCGAAGGGGGGTTAGTTGCGTTTTAAACACTTTACTAACCACAACCCCCAGAAGGGGGGTTAGTCAAATGTTTTAACCCCCATTCGGAGGGGGTAGTTCAGTGTCTTACCCAAGATTTGCGTTTTAAAATCTTAAGTAACAAACTAAACTAACCCCCCTTCGGGGGGGGTTAGTTTAGGGTTAAATTACTTGAATGAGTTAGTTAGTTTAGTGATAAAAGTTGTTCATATGTTAATGTTATACGCCACTACATGCTATTAAAGGTATTAAGTTAGCTTAATGTTATGTGTTTAAATAATCACAATAAAAACACTGTTAATTAACTACCCGAGGAGTAATTCATGTTTATTTATTTATTTGTGGTTTCATTAACAAGACTGTCACTATTTCAGGGCAGTGTCAAAATGCAATTAAGTAATAAATAATGAATTGGTAAAAATGTGGTCGTGGTCTAACTTAAGGCACTATTCTGGCACTTGCTTGGAATGACTGAGGAAATCAACGAAACACATCACTCAGGATAATTGGTATCCGAGCCAATATTTGAATACAGGACCTCCCGAATATGAAGTTTCGTGAATCGCACAGACCACACAGTCCAGTAGTAGGTAGAAGTTTTAGGAAATTGTCACCTCCATCGTCAGGGTAAACATGAGAATATCCTGCCAGAGGCTAAATATTTTCTAAGCTTATCTGTCACCCACTCAGAATCCTGTCCAATGGTTACCGGAGGTTTTTCCAAGGGTAAATTGGCCGGGGAATGTAGGTAACCACTCACCTCCATCGAGTGCCGAGATAAAGAAAGAGTGGAGTTATACCTCCATCTGTTCTACACTCTTAAGCTTCGTTACAGTTTACAGACGCCAACGAATTATAGTGAAACAAATATTAGTATCCTACATGGTGTATTTAATAAAAATCAGGTGCAATTTCAAACACATTCTTCAAGCTGAGATCTCGATTCTTTTGGCTAGCAGGTTATCACAACGGCAACAGGGTCTGGCTCTCATTCTGAAGTACCCGGTTTGAATCCTGTTCTCGTAAACTTTTTAGCGGGCCCCCTCAGTCTTACCGGGCAACGTACCAGTGCCTAATTTTAGTTACCATACAAGCAGGCTACTGAGAATTTTGGTTGCAGTAATTTCGGATAGAAAGTTTTGAATAGGGTTTAGAATAAAATATTAAAAATGTCGTGCCTTGACATGGTAATGGATATATTATATTCCGATTATCAGAGGCAGATACCAAGAAATATCTACGAAAAAAAATGTCAGTGGAACCAGAGTTCCGGAGAATTTGACGTAAATACGTCTATACGGAAAGGAAGTTTATATACGAGGTGCGATCGGAAAGTTTCAAGACTGTGTCAATAGCGGGCGAACCGGATGTAGTACGAGCTTCTGCCGCTAGGGGGTGCGGACTACATTCATAGTGAATCAGTGTGCCAGCCGGCATCATCGAATTAGCATTTGTTTCTTAGTTACGGGCGTTTTGGTAGTGCATTACACCGACCCTCCTGCGATTTCGGAATGGCGTGTGCATCAAATTTTGCCAAAGACTCGCCAAAACGGCTACAGAAACCTATGAAATGCTAAAGCAAGCATTTGGGGAAATACTTCGAAATGGGTCGTGCACAAACTTTTGTGAGGCATTC